ATCGTACTTCTACTTTATTGACATCAGTCAGAAATGAACAATCAATGTTATCAATAATAAACACATGAACAGCATATAATTTCCCCTTTTAATTTTATGAAAATCGGACGACTATATCATTTAGCTGCCGTGGTCGGAAAATTAATTGAAAACAGGAGAAATTAAGTCATAGTTTCGCTTTCTTTAATAACATAGTATTTTCAATGTAGCTTTTCATTTTAAGTGTTCCTATTCAGTTGTTTTTAAAAATATATAATTGATGATAGGCTATATAGACATCGGCTTGCCGAAGCTAGTTTTCTTCCTTGTTCTCATTGCAATTTCAGTACTTGTGGTACAATCTCGAAATGAGAAACTACAAATTAAGATTACTACAACATATTTTAAGCAGTCTTGAAACACAACGTGTACTTAAATGCTGACTTTCTTAAGCCTACTTACCAGTGAGATAATAAGTAAGGAGCTCTTCAATTAGCAAACTTTAAGGCGGTTCCTCTTCCTCCGGTGGGCCGAGGACTATGCTCTAGTATACATATTTTAGCAGCACCATAATTCAGGGCCGCTATTTACGTCTCGTGTGTCAGAAGCGGAGGCCACAAATCACTTTAATTGAAGTCACGCCCCGCCAACTCGAGGGAGCCGGTCCAAAAAGCTGCACCACTGTCCCTTCAGCTGCGAAACCGCAATGCAAACGGCGGAAATGCTGGTGAATACATTTGGCCCAGGTTTTTCATATTCAATTTTTTTCTCAGCTCGCACACGCGAATTGTAATCCACATTCACAATTGGTCAACCGAACGCGCGCGGATGCGGATTCGAATGCGGATGCGGATGCGGACGCGGGGTCAAAGTGCTTGTTCTTTGTCATTATTATAATTAATTTTGGTATTTTTGGCAACAAACGATGCCGAACCGGCTCTTTTTGATTTGCAGCCACTTCTTTCATTTTCTTTATTTACGTTGGGTATACTTCTCGAATTGTTTTGGGTTCCCTTCTGCAGCGTTTTTCTGGCTTTTGTTGTCGGATTGGTGCACAATTGGTGCAACGCCGCTGCCGCCGATGACAAAGGCCGTGGCTCCGGGACCCACAGTCAGACTTCGAATGCGACTCCAGGAACTTCAGGAACTCCAGGAGCTCCGCAGGACAATGCCCAACGAACGGGGAGCAGGACGAGTGGCAGCAAGTAGTCTTCGTTTCAGCTCCGGGCGACGCGACGGCGACCTGATGGCAAAGTGTCCAAAAAATAATATTTGCTGTTCACTTTGACACAAGGCGCGCTTGGGTTCGTTCCGTTCGTTTCGGTTGCAGCGCAGTCGACGCAGATACAGATATATAGATACATAGATACAGATATACCGAGGTGGTTGTCGAGGAGATGCCGGCGAGGTTGTGAGGTTGTGAGGCTCTGAGGATGCGAGGTGAGCATGGCACAAAAACAGAGAACTCACAACTGAGAATCGAGAATCGGGAATTGAGAACTGAGAATCGAGCATCGAGAGACCTCAGAAGGGCAGAAGTGGGATGGAAGGAACGCCGACCAGAAGGTCGTAAACCCGGGCAGCGCTGCCACGATGGCAACACTTGCGAGAACGCCAAGGAAATGAGAATGAGAATGCCGAGCGAAGACCCAATGCCAAAAGATGAAACGCCAAGAGAAGCGGCGGCAAAAGGCAACGGCAACGGCAACGGCAACGCGGTGGGTCATAAAACGCGCGTGTATCTTTCCTCTCTTTCGGCCGCAGTAGCCCCGTCTCACTCGCTCCACGGACATTCGCTCGGTGAAAACAACCACCCGAGAATCCGACACATACACACTCTGGTACATACTTACTACACCGACTCATGTCCAATCATTTTATATACGCCATTTGCTGTCTGGCGCAGATACATTTGTATCTTTATGTGCGAAACAAGTCCCAGGCCCGTTCCGTCGCTCAACCCGAAAACTGAATCTGAATCCGAAACTAAACATACACCGAGTTTTGAGCCAGAGGCTGACGACATCGACGAGTCAATTTTGAATTCCACTTTCCCAGCGCGGTGGTTGTTGCGGGCTCTAATCATTTGATTGTTATTCCTTCGGCATTCTGCTCATCTGACTTCTTCAACCCCCAATGGCCTCTGAGTCCCAACTGGGGTTCGTCCGGGCGCTTATCTTTTGATTACCAGATCGAATCGTATTGAATTAGGTACATATTTTCAGCCATCCTCGGGCACTTTGAGACAACTTTTTACCATTACCCCGCATATGCCGCGAATTCGACATGGATCCCTCGGGTAAAAGGTGTTTTAGCCAAAAGCATATCAAATCCGACTTATAAGTTATGAAAGTTTGTAGGTCTCTTAAGAGAAAAACTAAGAATACAGATTCATAAGGCTTGACATGAAATTTGCCACTTTGGCTACAATTAATAGGCTAAAAAAGAGATTTGTATAGACTTATTTGTATTGTAAATCTTATAGTCTATATGTATTTTAACTTATGCAAATAAATAGTTTCTACAAAAACGTTAAAATTTTATAGAATATATTATATGTATATATTAATTTCTTATTGTAAACGACTATTCGTCACAATTTTATAATAATTTAATATTCTTTTTCATAAACCTATTTTGTGCCGGGATTTCAAGAGGACAACTGAATGAAATTAAACGAAACCATTTTTATAAATAAATCTGTAGCGTATATAATCATCCAAAATAAGTTCATTAATAAATGTATTTCTAAATTCTATTTTCAAATTTTATATATTATTTGCTTTTTTCTTTTTTTCCCATTTGTTTTCAATTCTAAGTTCTTCATTTGCGAACATATTATTATTTTTATTAATTCCTAATTAGTATTAACAACCCGTCAATATAACCATGTCCGTGTGTCCGCCTTTATGGTTTTTTTATCATAAAGTGTTCTAATTCGTTATACATTAGGTATTCGACAATATACATATGAGCTTAATTTATTCGAAATCGGGCAACTACAAAGATTTGTAGTTTTTGAACACACGGTGTTCTTATAAAAAATACACCAGTATTTTGTCAAAATATATTAATTTAGTTTTCGACGACTATAACATATAGCTACCAAATGATTTTGATCATAAACTATTATTTTTCGCTATACTCTGTTATTTTCTTAAATACATAATTAGTTCAAGTGTATATCAGCTTTTAATTGCTAAAGCTAACTTCCGTTTCTGTTTATCTATGAATAACGAATATAAAGTATTTTTTGTGAGTTTTGAGGGCATTATATTGAAACAACACATTTTTCTAAATTATGATGCATGGCTTGTGAGATCTTAAATTTAATTGTTTCTAAGAGATATACTTTTATTTTATATTTGTATCTACGACTACAAGTTTATAAATAATTAATTATTAATAATTGTGCCACAATTTAAAATTGGCCATGATCATTTCAGTATGGGCCAGTTAGGGATAAGTATTTTATTCATGTTTAAAAAAAGACCAATGGAGAAGTTCATACTCTAAGGGTCTATCGAAATATTGTGTGATTTTCAACATATGAAGAACATTAATGTTCCGATTTTTAAAAAATGTTCGCGTTTCTTCTTACTTATATGCAACAAAAGGCTATTTTTGATACAGCCTTGTTGTCTAAATGTAATTGTAGAAAAATCAAGGACCTTTTCTTTCCCCATCTGTCCATTTTTGTGCGCAGTAGATAGACACCCCAAATCCAGAGCGGTTCAATCGATTCATTTTAAAATTCTCACACCAATAAAACTACAATTTGGTTGCCGGAGGTGGGTGGTTTAGGTGGTTGGACGGAACCACCCACCGAACCCATCCCCAATTCCACCCAAATGAACCCAACCCACCGAAAGCTGTTCGATGGGCAAAGGCGTCCCCTTGTACATAACATAAAAAACGCATGAGACCGAACTGAACCGAGGCACTTTATCTCAGAATCAGCGAACGTTCGGAGAGGGGAAATGGCAGTGTTTACATAGCAGGGTGCATTTTATGCTACATTCCTCCCCGAAGCCTCTAAGCTCAGCTCAGCATCGATAAAAACTTATTTAAATTTACATAGGTACATACATCTGTTCGCTAGAAGGTACATACATTCTCCATGTATCTACGTGTGCACTTATCGGGGCTCTCCTTTTGACAACCCCTTGGCAGGGGTTGAATACCACTTGAGCAAACATTAGATGGCGGGTGGCTTTTACGACTCAAAGAGAAGGCAATTATCTGGGAAAATATTTCATTTCGATAATGAGTTGTGCTCAGACACAATTTACAAGAGCTTGCATTAATTTGAAGTGTAAATAAAATTGGTTTGGATGCATTTACAGCTCGATGTCAATCATTTATCGAAAAGTATATTTCTTATATAATGTAAATGACAGGTCCTAAATGTAGGAGCCACATATTTCTTTTAATTTGCTTTTAATTCCATGTGAAGTTTTATAATTTTTTTGAAATACTTACACACTCAAAGTCCCACACTCAAATATCGATAAATAATACGATAATATAATGTTGATTTAGACAACTTAAGAAAGAACTTGCCTGTCTCTACTTATGAATACATATATTAAACGTGTTTTTTTCTTTTAAACCAATTGCCCGAGTTTTATTTTATTAATTTTATTTCTTTGTTTTTAATTTTAAGCAAACCATTAGATAAGAAACAATACCTTGCAGCTCATTAACAAATAATACAAAGCTTGCCAGCAACAACTTTTAAATTTAAACAGTCTATTAAATTGGCTGAAAGTGATATATGATGCTCATTTACTGGGCAACAAATCGTTTCCAACTTGCGAAAGTTTACCAATCCCAGCCTCCCAATGCGCATTGTCATTAAATTGATAGTCAATGAATGCAATTAATGCAATGGCAACGGTATAAAGTCATCATTATATGCACCATCAAATTACCTACCATTATATACCATACCGTTATAACGCTACAAAGAAGCGCAGATATAGATACAGATATGGGGCATTCAGTAAAGTCGAGAAAAACACAGTTACATAATAATTTATTTAATCTTAAGACATATGCCGAAACAAGACTATTAATTCTAGTTTTAATTTATTTAAGCGCTGTATTACAATACCAGTGTAAAAATACTGTAACAAAAATCAGGAAACGCAACGAAGGAAAACAAAGATCGAAATGAAACAATTCAGAAAGTGCACTGAATCAGATTTATATTTTTTGACTGAGGAAGTGGCGACTTCGAGCTGATCGCCTACGAGTAAGTGCAGTACATATGTACGTATTTTGCTTTACGTTTTGTACGAGTACGAGTACGAGTACGAGTATCTGGATGTCTATGAATAAATTCGATGGTGAGAGGTCGCTTGCGATGTGTTAACATCCTCCTCTTTGGTGTACTTACCGAAATAATGGATGAAAAAACGGATCAGATGCGGATAAACCAGAGGATACCAAGAATGGTGTTGGATGGAAGGCGGCAAGGACAAGGCCGCGAAGTAGTTGGGATATTTTGAATTGTGTGTATATTTTTGCACTTCTGCAACTTCTTGTATTTTATTCACAATAATTAACTTTTTAAAAAAGAGAATTGCTAACGCTAGATTAAAATTCACTAAACAAACTATAATCGAACATAATCATAAACATAACCGACTTTAGACTACAACTTATCGAGGGCTCGAAATAATAATAATACAAGAACATGAATAAAGCAGTGGGTGAAATCATTTCTTCATCAAGTATGTATAGGCTAATTATACACATATAATGGTAGGCATAGGTGTAGGTGTAGGTGTAGGTGTAGGCGTAGGTGTAGGTAGAGGTTAGCATAATATAATATAATGCTCGGGGCAAAACATTAACAAAATCGATAATTACACAACACAACTAAACTTAGACTTAATATCAGGATCAAGCGGCGTCGATACACATGAAAATATATGTATGCATATGTACGATTACTATATGTACTATGTGTATGTTATATAAGTAGCTGTTACGGTATGCTAATTACTCCTCCCCGACATCTCCCCTCCATCGTTTTCACACTCGCTTACTTCTGTAGAGTGTATATCTTTTAAGTTTTTGTTGCTTTAGCTTTACGAGTAGTTTTGTTTAGTGTTTTTCTTGCCTTTAGAGTTAAGTTAATTCGAAAGCGACTTCAACTATGGGGTAAACATGCACACACTCATTGAAACTTTGCAACTTACAATTACCATTTGCTAAAATCGAATCCGAATTCATATTATACAAATTGAATATTGAATATCGCTGCATGTACGCATATATATCTGATGTAATTTAGTTATCGAGTGCTTGCTTCGGCCGGAAATCAGCGCAATGTCTTAGTTTATATACAGGAACTTAGAAAGTATCAAAGGACACGACACGACGAACATTACACGACAAAATTTATCCTAGACTGCGGAGTGTGTCTTCTTGTTGGCGGGGCTTCTTCTGAGTGAGGGGTCCGAAAATTGTTAAACAATTTGTTTGTGTTGCTAGAACATGTATCTGGGTCTAAAATGTGCTCTGCTGCTCTGGCTAACTCAGCCGCCTTCTTCTGGCCGCTCTTACATGGATAGGTATGGTAAAATCTACTACTCGAACGCGTGTATTCATAATTTATGCGGGGTTATATTCACTGACGTTTAAGTATATTCATATTCATAATTTATAGTTCGGAAAATTCATAGTGCTCGCCTAGGCTAATGAGAGCGTTGAGAGAAATACGTACATACATATATTTTCGTACAGTTGCGAATTTCAAGTGCATCTTTTCAATTGCTGCTGCTTATTCTTCATCTTACTCGTATCTATATTCAACTACCGAACTAAGCTGCATTATCGTGTTGGGTTTGGGATCTCTGCGATCCGTAGAACTGGCTTAATAATAAACTGCATTTCCGTCAACGTCGGCTGGTCACTCATCACACATCACACATCAGCGACGCCTGCGCACTTCTGGGCAGTTGCTCATCCTCATCCTGATCCTGCTCCTCTATCTGGTCATATATTCCTATCCCGCATGCTAGAGATCTCTGGGTTTTGTACATTCAACCGACTGAACTCGGCCTGGCTGGAGTCGCCCTTCCCGTCGCTGGACTAGCATGGAAAGTCCATGGCCAGCTCGTTCTTGATTAGATGATGGTGGTTCGGATCGGACATGGGGTTGGGATTCGAGCTGGGGTTACCCGAACTCGGATTGGCTAACTGCTAGTAGGTGGCAAAGCCCATGGCGCCAGCGCTGCTGTTGTCCAAGGGTCACTGGTGCATCTTGGCGGCATGGTGACCCATGTTCAGGCTAAGGTTCAGGTGGTGGCCGCTGTGGTGCTGCTGGTTCGCCTGCGCGTGGTTGTGGTTGCTGCTCGAGTTGTTGTTGTTGTTCTGCTGATTGGCCTGGCGCTGGGAGTTCTTCTTGTTCTTCATGCGCCGATTCTGGAACCATATCTTGACCTGAAAGCAACGTATTTAATCAAAAAATGCCACACCAGCGGATTAGTGAACTCACCTGTCGCTCGGTCAGCTGCAAATTTCTGGCCAATTCCCAGCGCTTTTGCTTGGAAACATACGCATTGAAAAGGAACTCCTTCTCCAGCTCCAGGGTCTGGAACTTCGAGTACGGCTTGCGCTTTTTCCGGACGGACACCTGACCGGTCCACTCGTGCAGTCCGGGATTGGGCGTGCAAGAACCCACCGCTCCCACCGACAATCCACCAGAGGCTCCTGAAAATATCACCAAGTAATGGGGTTGAGCTACATGGTTTACTTCATTTGCCGCAAGTGCGGGTGGTCCGCTGCCATTGTTGCTGTGTTCGGTGGCAATATCAGATCGTTAAGTTTATAGAGCAATTACGGAAATTGTTTAGCAATAAGCGTAATACAAAATTATTCAATTCAGCATTTATGGCCCCTTAATTGGTGCGGTACGGGGAGCGGAGCTCCGAATTGGCACGAGGCCCATATTCACACTCGAGCGGATAACATTTAATGAATACATTCGTTCCCGCTCATTGGCCGACCAAATGAAGCAATTAAATTAATGTAGAAGTAAAGTGACAAGCTGGATTTATTTTTATTTAAATGATAGTTCAGCTAAAAGCGTTTCGAATCTAATCCGATTTCTTTGAATTAGACTTGCTTGCATTAAACAGTTGGGTCTGTCAGATTGAAATTTACTTATCGTGTCTAAAGCGCCTTAATTCCAATTTTAAATTTTGCTGGCGAGGTCGCTTCAGTGACATATTTCGCCATAATCTCGAGTCTTTACTATGGGGACTGCCTGGGAAATTATGACTACTTGACAGATACGGTTCTGGCAGCTCGAAAACCCTGCTGATAAGACCGAACATAAACAGGCAACCCCACAGAATGCACTTCCAATGACTTTCGCACCCACATTAAGGCGCAACGCTAGCCAAATAGCGAGAATCGATTTATGGGCTGTTTTGCACTACGCTAATTGAACGACAAACTTGACGGTTTCGCAGTTTGGTATTTCAGCCGATACGACGGCACAAAGTCTAGTGCACACAGGGAAAATCAAATACTCTTCAATTCATTATTGTAAGATGCTCAAGATTCAGGGAATGTTTATATAATCAGCTTGGCTCATAGGAACAAAATTAATGGCATCGTATATAAAAAATGTACACATAAATATCTCTTCATTGGAAATTTTGACTGTATTAACGCCTATATAAATATATATTTCGATTCATATTTAGGCAGAATTCGAATGCTGGTTTTTAAACAGAATTTTTCAGAACATTGCAGTCAAAAAGGTTTTCTTAAAAATAATACCTTTTTTAAGTATAGTACATATGGTATATTTTTAATTACCACGTAACATTTCAGTTACCAAATTAGAGCTGCAAAACGCTCGACATTTTTTCGCGTGTGCCCAACCTCGATACCCTTAGGTGTGCTGGACTCACCTGAGCTGGAGTAGTTCTCGCTGGGATAGCCCCGCAGTCCGCCCGGCGAGGAGTAGGTGGGCGGCTCGTAGCTGGACGTCGATGTGCCCTCGACGGACTGTCGGGCGGCGGCGCTCACGTGGCGCTCCGCCTCGTTCATGTAGGCCGCCGCCGCCGCGGCAGAGGTGGTCTGGTCGGGGCGGTAGTTGGGGCCCCAGTACTGCTGCGGGGGAGAAAAGAGTTCGGGTTGGAACTGAGTTGCTTAGGACCGAAGTGCGGGGTGGAGCGGCGCGGTGCGGCAGCCATACTTACACCAACCGGAAACTGCGTTTCTGGGTAGGGGTAGGCGAACATGTGCTTGCGGTCGTAGTACCCGGAACCGTAGTGCTGGTTGAATCCCTCGTCGTTGTAGGCCCAGTGTGCCGTGTGCCGCTTGACCGCCGCCGAGGTGTCCGTCTCGAATCCCGGACCGGCCCGGATGGCGGGTATGTGCAGTGGCGCTAATTGGATGGACATATTGATGTCTGGAAGCAAACGGGAAGCGCGGATATGCTGCTGTTAATAATTTCTCTAGGGCTGGTAAGTCAAATTTTAACGACTGTCTATGATTGCCTAAATCGACCTCCTTGACCATTTTTGCATTTTATCACTTGGCGAGGTATTTGTGTCTATAGCCCTTAGCTCGTTTGCTAGTGTCTCAGATGTGGGAGCATTCCCACTTCATCGATATAAAAATGTGTGTATTGATACGTGTCTAGCATTAAGGTATTCAAATTGCTACAATAACGATTCAAATCATTATTTCATATATAATGAATCAATCTAAGCCAATTACTTGAATAAATGCGCAAGGAAAATAACAGTTTTTAGCAATTTCTGTGCATCAACTCAGTTTCTAAGAACTTCAAGAAATAATATGAGACTTATTGATATTGATAAAATAGCAGCAAATATTTTGAGTAAATCAATTAAATGCGTGACGATTCCTGACTGAGTTCAAGAAAACCCTTATCAGCCTTGGGAAGCGTGCTGCAATCAACAAGACTGAAACGCTCATTGCAATTTCGAAAAAAAAAACCAGTGGAACGGCCCCGTTCCCAATTTTATGCCCCACTTTATTTTGAGGAATTTCTAGCTCCCAGCTAAAGTGTAGAAAATTTCAAAAGCCATATTTGCAAAATATTTTCCCAACGATTTTCGAAAGAGAGTTCCCATTCCCAAGAGAGTTCCAATTAGGACTCTGCATGGTGTCCAACCCCAGGGAATGTAATATTTCTGGGACCTCACCTTCCTTCTGAGAACTAACGCTGGAGGGAGAAACACTCGCCGCGGTCGGCGCCACGATCTGCGTCTGGCCAGGAGCAACTGCAGCATTCTGCTGTTGCTGCTGCTGCTGGAGATTCGAGGAGGCGCCGCTGGCGACACTGTTTGGGGTTTGCTGCTGCTGCGGCAGTTGCTGGTGGTGGGGGGATGTGAGATGTTGCTGCTGCTGCTGCTGTTGCTGTTGTTGGGCGGAGGGTCCAGTGGGTGTTTGGGCGGGACTGAGGGCGCCGGCCACCGGTGTTGTCGCCAGCTGTTGTTGCTGCTGCTGTTGGAGCTGCTGCTGCTGTTGCTGCGGAGCGGGGAGGTGTTGCTGCTGCACGGCGACAAGTGGCACAGGCGGAGGATCCTCGTACATGACCGCATGCGTGGGCGTGGAATGTGTGGTGGGAGTTGACTGCTGGAGCACGGAGGAGGGCGAGGAGGCGACGACTGCATGTTGCTGCTGCTGCTGTTGCTGCTGCTGCTGCTGCTGCAGGTGGGGATGCGCGCTGTGGTGATGGCTGGTGGTGTGGAGAGGCTGAGGCAGGTGGTGGTGCGCATGGAGATGCAGTTGCTGCAGATGCTCCTGCAGATGCTGCTGCTCCTGCTGCTGCTGCTGATGATGCTGCTGTTGCTGCTGCTGTTGTTGCTGCTGCTGTTGCTGCTGCTGCAGGTGGTGCTGCTGCATGACGGGCAGGGGATGTTGCGCCTGGGGATGCGGATGCGGGTGCGGGGCGGTGGGTACGTGGGTGTGGGTGTGTGTGTGATGCCCCCACCACGCCCCGGCAGCGGCGTGCGACCCGACTGCCGAGACATCGTGGGGGTCGTAGAGAGCGCACGCCAGCGGGATGGTTGGGGTTTGGGGGAGGGGTGGAATATTTACGGTTATCTTGGACGCGTTGCACTCGAACTGCGGCGGCGAGGGTAAAGGCGGTGCAGTGGGGTCGATCGCCTCGACCCACCGACCTTTCTCTGTCTTTTTGCCTCACTCCTCCGAGTGACGCCTCTTTAATTGTTTAAATCTTATTTTATTTTGCGTCTTAATAATTCTTTATTTTTTCCAATATCCAGAGCACTTTTATTCGAGTTCCTTTGCTTTTACTTGCGTACCGCACACGCACACAGACGTCCGTCAGCGGTCACACGCACACGCCGACTTACTCACACACGCACACTGCCTAAAGAGCGGGCAAAGAGAGTCACTTTGTTGTTGCTGTTGCACAGGGGATCGAATCAGCTTGGATTTCACAGGGTGTTTGCGGTCGTCGGCAACTCACGCAGTATTTTCAAATTGGCTTTTTCAGGTTTCAGTTTTCATTCGGTCTTTCCAATTTTCCAAAACCTTTCCTATTTTCCCGTTGTCAGTTAAAGTTTTCTTTTCACTTTTCTTTTTTGGTTGGCGTTTTATAATTATCATAAATAGTTTATTATTTGTGTGGCCTGCAGTTGTTGTTGCTGCTGCTGCTGCTGGTGTTCGCTTTTTATGTTGGTGGTCATAAAATTTGATTTTACGACCAAAACAAACAATTAAAGGCAATGTTTGCAACAGTTAACAAAAATGTTATTGTTTCTCCTCACATCGCCGGCGACTCGATGTTTTGATTGCGATTTTGGCTTTTCGATTTTAATTTCCGTACGACTCCAACGGCGTTTCCTGAAGTTCGACTTTTCGAAAATTTTTCAACTCGGTATTTTTCGAACCGCTCGAACGGAACACTTCCAGCCGAATGTGAATGTGAGTACGAAATCGCCCAAGTCCCAGTCCTCGACGAAGTTGCAGGGCCGCTTGTCTTTGCTGCCTCGGCTGTTGTTGTATTTGTTGTAGTAACTGTTGTTGCTGTTGCTGCTGGACGCCCGCGCGCCTTCCAACCGAACAGAGCGAAGCACAAATCTACACTGACAGGCAGCAGCGCACGGCGACAACATATCCACATCGCTGGCACGGCACAGGCACACCGACAACGACAACGACAACGGCAACGGCAACACGAGACCAAGACCAGAACCAAAAGCAACGGCAAAAGCAGAAGCAGAAGCGGTGGCGTTCTCTCGCTCTTTCTCTGTCTCGCCTTAAGAGTCAAGAGGCCAGCCCCGCAGCAAGCACAATCACGAACACTGAACGCAGCGGCGCCAGCCCGCTCCACTGTGTGTGTGTGTGCGTATGTGCGCCTCCTCCCCGTACGTGTGACTCGCAAGAGAGCGCGCACATGCGCGTATGTTCATACTCGATGCTCTGCTCCTGCTTTTGCTGGTGGTGGTGGTGGTTGCTGCCAGTTGCTGCAGTTGCTGCGGCTCTCTTGTGGCGCGTTATGCACACGTACACTGTATACAGCGTCTGTGTGGCTCCCAGACTGTCTGTGAGAGTGTGTGTGTGAGTGGGGGAGCCGAAGAGAGTTCTAAATGTTGCTGGGGGCACATAGCACTGTTTCAACTAGCTCCTTCGACCAGGCCGAGATGGTATCGCACTCCGACTGGGACTGGGACTGGGACTGGCTCTGGAATTCGCTGAGCTCAGCAGGTGCTCCAAGTCACAGGGGGTCATAGAGGGCGAAACACACACGCACAGTGTACGTGTGAAGGCCTCCGCTCTTTGGCGAGCAAAAAACCCTCTCTGACTCACCGCCCGCTCTTACTGCCCGTTTTTGGGGGCTGATTTGAATACTTAACACGCGCGCACCACAGCGCCATCTATGTCCGAGATTTCGGTGGAATGGGGGCGGGGAGGCGTGGTAGATGGCACCACATTGTGTGTAGTTAGTTGGCTTGTTGTTGGCGCTTTTTATCGATTACCACAACAGCAGCCACCTCCGGGAAAACTCACTGCATGAAGACCAAGTATCCCAGCCAATTATGCGCGTCATCGAGAACAGTGACTAATTAATGCTAATTAGCTAGACAAATACATGCGTGCGCCAGTTCAGTCAGCAAATTATGATAGTCCCATTGTAAGGAAACCCCGGGTCGCCTTTCACCCCTATCCCAACCTCATTTCTCCCTCTTGGCCTTTCTACAGACTCCCCTCCCTGTCTCACTTCGAAAGGCAGTTGCCAAATTTTACGCTGCACTGGACAATTATGGGAATTTTATGGCTATTGCCATTGGAAGAAAAGCAAAGGCACGCAGTCGGGCCAAGGAAATGTTAACAAATCGTAAAAAGGACGCGTTGAGAACCACTCTCAACCCGTTTGACAGCAAAATGTATGTGTACAATCGCATAAAAATCCATACTTAGCAATTACAATAATACATTTGTGCCAGAGTTAAGAAAATGTCAGAAGTCAACGCGAATGGAGGCGAATAATATTATTTCTTATGTGAAATCGGTTGCAACGGACATTTTGAATTTGAAACATCACGCATTTAGTTATTTAGTTAATAGATTTGCTTACTTAATAAAGTTTAAGAGCTAACTTTTCTGTTTAAAATAATAAACTATAATAATAATTTATGTATTATATGTTTTTGGTTGCAATTAGGTATGATTAAACCTCAGATTTTTTCCCTATTGGACTACTCCGCAGAATTCTTTTAAAGGTATAATGTCTGGACACAATAGCATGTTATCTTATATCTCTAAATACCTATTTGGCTTAAACAGTAGTTATTACAGCTTTAGCTTACCTGTAGGATGGGAACTGACGCTGGAGGGAGAGATGCTCGCCGCTGTCGGCGCAACGAGGTGGTTTTGGCCGGACGCCACCGCTGAGAATTGATGCTAGGGTGGTGCTTGGTGGGTCTGCACCGCTGCTGAATGGGGATGGATCTACTCCACCGGTCTGCTCACTGCCAGTGCTGCGTACTGCAAAAAGATGCAGAAAACTTGGTAAGTAAACCACGGCAATGGCCATCAATAAAGGCCTGCTGCAACCAGGCGCCACTCATCATAGCTGGCCATTTTCCCTGGCCTGTAGGAAAAAAAGCAGTAAGAAGAGCCCGAGGATGCCGAGGATGGCGAGGATGGCGAGGATGCCGTCTTTATGGCCGGCGCAAACATCTTGTTTGCATTTGACACCGCGCAGGTAATAATGCGAGGCTAAACTGGCAGCCAACCAGGGACGAGGGCAGTGGCAACAGGACGTAGGATGCAGGATGAAGGATGCCGCGATTTCCCGCAGGGACTGGTCCTCAAGCCGGTGCGGAAGTGAGCGCCGGGCCCGGATGAGAAAAGGGAAAGGGAATGGGAATGGTAATGGGATTGGGAATGGGAACGAGAGTCAAAGTCGGATTCGGAGTCGGAGTCAGTAAGACAAGGAGACACGCAGACAGCAGCGACAGACAGCCGTCAAACACGTCGTAAAATTTGTTTCTCGTTTCGCATTTGCATTGTGCAACACTCACAGATACACACTCGGATCTCCCAAAGGCGGTGTCAGGGTCAAAGTCAACTCCTGCCCTTCCACTGCCTGTACTTTCATGCCCAACTGCACTCCACTCCACTCCACACACTGCACCCCACTCCACACCAATCCGGAGGAACTGCGGAGGAACTGGCTCCATGTGTCCCTCAAGAGTTTCGCTTTCGCTTTGATCGCACTCAGTTCTCCCGTAAAACCATTTGACTGCAGTTCCTGGACGCAGAAAAAGGGAAATGGAAAATGGGAAAGCGCTCCAGAGTATATGGGATTCATGCACTTTTCTCCGACATGATTTCCTCAAAAATAACTGCAGTTGGAACTAGGCCTTGCGAGCATTTAGTGCCTTTACCCCTGAGCAGCATTCCATTTTGATTAGAAGATCTCAACATAATTAGTTATTAATAGAGCGATATGGCCTTTCTTCATGACAATACAAACTGAAGACCAGTTATTAAAATATTAAAAAAGCACAATGATCCAGTTCCCAACCCACATTATCGTGGGAAGATCGGTTCGGTGGGTGTCACACTTATGGTGCATAATTTGTATTATTGTCACCAACAATAAAGCCTTTCATTGGCTTCGCCCTCCACTCGTTCTTGTTGGAAGAAATAGAGCTATAGCTATAAAAAGAATTTCTTCCATTTTTAACGATTCCCCAATTTGAATAAGTTAATTAACAAAATTAATATTCAAATGGGTTTATGGCCGAAATGGCGGCTTATGGCTTCATTATGTGTGTGCCCGGTCCCAGAGACGGGCTAAAATTTAAATTCGGACAACAATAAACCTACCACAAAAAATATATAATCGTCTTGGACAAATTCACATGCAATATATCCGAAGAAAGAATCAAGTTCATTGGCCAGTCGCCATAAAATTTCGGTTGTTTGTGCGCTGTGTTTCGCGTTGGGTTTTCGGGTTCTCCGGCCGGAGATGCTGCGTCCGAATTAAATGAAATAAAATTAAATTCATGTTATCCAATTAGACACAGGGGTCCCGCACCGCGATCGTTAATGATCTTTCTCCCAGCTAATTATGATACGTCTCGGCCAGCTCTCGGCACCTTTAATGGCTCCGAATCTCTTTATTCTCGGAACCCTTTTCTCGCTGGACCCGCACCGTTTTCCCTGTAAGCCAGTCAGTCAGCCAGCCAGCAACCGGAGACGAATCACAGATATACACGGCCCGATTCCGATTCCGAGTAAACTGAAAAACTAAGCTTGGATTGGATCGAGGCTCTGGCGGCGGCGATGGCGATGGCAATGAGGTGACTTAGCGGCATTAGTGACTTTTCCAAACAAGTTTTTCTCATTCCTGTTTGCGTTTGATCGTGGAAACGTGTTCTGGGGGATTCTTACGAAAAAAGAAACAGAAAGAATAACCAGCCAGAAATTGGGCAACAGAACAGCCGACAGAATCATCCGAGCGAGAAATACAACAGATACAAGGGATTCAAGATACAAGATACAAGATACGAGATACATACACAGCGAACTCATCCCATCCCGGGCCATAATTAGAACAAAGAGCGGACGGAGCGTGGAGGGGCTGAAAAATGAAATATCGTGCTGACAGCTTCCAAGCGAGACATTTTGTGGAAAGTCGTCAGGGGCAGCCATGTACGAGTATCTGTATCTGTATCTGTATCTGTTTCGGTTTATTTTTCTGAATCTGTATCTGAATCCCTAAGATGTGTGTCGGCTGTTCTCATTGCCAACATGGCCACCGCCCCTTGCCCCTTCGCAATTTGTTTACCCAGCGTTTCCATTTCCCATTCCCCATTTTTGTATTTCTCTTTTTTTGTTTTGATTTTGGCTACATCCTTCTGGGACGCATCCATTGTTGGTGCAATTTATGATCGGGAATTGCTTTGTTTAATTATGTACACAAAATGTCATTGCTCCTTGTCTGGCGCAGAAGTAATTGACGGTACTGACACATTGTAGAGTTTAATGCCCAACTGTTTGTAGAACATCTTAGATGTGCCATAAATATGTCATCGGGCCGAGTATATAATAATAGAACTAGAAATAGCTTTCAAGATTTTAGCTTAGATCTTTGCCGCGTGGCGCATGCTTCTGCTTAAAAGCTACCCTAGGATTCTCACGAAAAGGTTGATCAACTTGGCCGCCACCCTTTAGCCCGTTTTAAAAGGGTTAAGAAGGGCCGGTGTTTATGCATTGGGGTATCAATTACAGGAGCACTAATTGAGAGACCCCAGTTAAATGTCAAAATGTGGAAGCCACAATTAGCCATGGTACCCCTAAACGGCTGTTTATCGTATCTGGCATTCATACATATAAGCTTAAGCACCTGAGAAAGTGCCGTGTCTGTACTTGGGCCATATTTTAGTACATTAAATCTAACTAGTTAACTGCCTTTTATTGCCAGCAAAGCGTTTTACGACAGACATATACGGAGCGCAGGAGAACGAGACAGCGACAGCGACAGAGCGACAGAGCGCGCGGGCCACAACTCTTTGGCAAGTGAAATTGTATGTAGATTGCATTATATATTGCAATAAAAATAAAAGTAAACACCCCTAAAATTAAAACAACACTTTTGGCCACTTTATGGTGGGCAACCACAGTCAGCGGTGCTTTTCAGTCTGAGTGGATCGTAGTGGAGCATGCAAGTGGCTCCGATGGGTTTTATGTTCGGAATTAAGTCGACGGAAAGTTGAAATGCCCGTGTCAGGCATTTGACTTCATTTTTTTCGGGCTTTCGCAGTCGTCACATGAACGGGGCTGGATAGCTCCTTAAAACCGGGCATTACTTTCACCTTCCTGGGCAGACAAATCCACTCCCACAGACGACGACCTTGGGCCAACTCATAAATTTAATTACAAAGGGCTGCGACAGTGGGGGCCATAAAAATAGACACATTTGCAGTCGAAGTGCTGCCTTGTCGCTTCCGTTCAATTCAAATTCCACTCAGTAGCCAGTCGGTTGGCCAAAATCGAGGGCCATAAAGTGGCCAGCTCCTGCGAACTTGAACCACATATGCCAGTGATGTCTTTTTTAATAGCACTTATTGCGCAAAGGTTCTCGTGCATCTTTGCTTGGCGGATCGGGCATTTTCCTCACTGAACTCCCCAAAAATCCCAATTGATCCTTAACCCGTCGATGCAGTCGGTCAATCGGGCAGACGCACCTCTTGTTTGGTTCGCCGGCTTTATGGCCAGTGGGCCAAAGTGTTAATTGCCCCGCTCCACTCCAATAAGGTGTTAATACCATCTTTATGGGCATTAAATTGGCCACCAGTTAAAATTCCAGCAAACACGACGAGACACGAGTTATGATGTCGTTAGGCTATTTGATGGCGTCTCAGCACATCCCCACATATTTGTACCCTGCCATCTGGGAGTGTGATAAAAGAGTCGGGGATTTTATGGCGAATTAATTGTCACAGAACGAGAAATGGCCTGAACCAAATCGGCCAGAGATTTGTGCGTGCCATTATTGCATGTATGCAAATCGATGCCAGAGGTTTTTCTACTTTTAACTTAACGAAATTGAAGCGCACCAGCCTTATTTTAGCTTAGCCCAAAGCTCAGACATAAAACCCGTCACTGCCAAAAACGGGAAAAATAAGTGAAATCATCAATTCTGCTTTTCCAGCTCTCTTTTGCTGTAAGAAAATTCCCAGCGGGGGATGGAAACTTTGCTACATTGTGTTTCTATTTCTTGTTTGGAATTTTCTTTCTCGCTTCCTTCACTTATCCCTCGTTTCCTTTTTAAAGGCAACTGCCTCATTTACATAAGCATAATTTCCACATAGAATAGTTACATAGCTTTAGCTTATAAGCAGCGCAAAGAGATATACACACACACACACACATAGTATAAATGGAGAGATTCAGCAGGAGCCACCCCTTCGCTGCCCCTTCCGCCCTGCCTTCCTGGCTGCCATGCCTGGCAGCCAAAGTCAGCAAAATATTTATTCAAATAGCGTGCGCGTCTCCGGCTCCCTAAAGGTTAATTTCAGTTTCGCTACATCAACGGCCTCCATCCAGCGCACCACCCACACAACCACCCACTTCCGCTGGCTGCCAGGGTTTTTGGCCCAAACAACCCCCACAAAACGACAGGCGGCCGCGATAAGCAAAGTCAAAAGCATTCAAGGATAAAGGAAAAAGGGCCGAAGGAGAGAGGGAGAAAGCAGCAAGCGGGAGCGAGCGGGATGGCAATCGTGGGGCTGGGGTGGAAAAGTGGGCGCCCACGCTTGAGGGCGGCTCGGAAAACAACGAAACGAACCACCCCCAAGGACCAAGGGTAGCCGAGTTTGAAAACACTTTTGCTGACGTTGTCGCTTGCTGAACACACACCCACACACACCCACACACACGCACACACTCCGCATACACCCACAAAAACAAGGACGAAGGATGAGGGTGAGGGGTGGCCATGGGTGGCTGGGCTGAAATATCGATCCCTCTTGGGTCGTTGCCTGCACTCAATGAGTTCTCAATTTACTTTGTGCCTTTGTACTCCTCGTATATATAGTATAGGTTTTCTATCCTGAGGAGTGGAAAAAAGATATCGATGGCCGCATGGATACCTATTAACGCATTCCTGCACAGCAACTGACAACTGCCATTACTTTTTATTCAGATACGCCATCCATGCCATCCATGCCATCCATGCCATCCATGCCATCCATGCAGACGTTATTAATTGAATTATAAATTTAACTTTTTATTGTCTCTGCCCAGCTGCAGGTTGCCTGCACCCAAAGAACTCTGAAAACGAACCCAAGACTACGTGATAAGCCTGAAAATGTTAAAAATGTCCGCCCCTCCCGAAAAATAATTCTGTTTCCCTCGATTCCGTGGAATTCCTGCTGACTAATATGGCGAGGACCTCAAGCTAATTTTCATTTGGGTGCCGGGGAAGGGGTCAAATAAGTGGTGCACAGTGGGCTTAGCTCGCAATAATAAAGAAACTTTGGATTTATGTTTATCAAGTGGGAAAATAACTTGTGTTCAATCTGAACATGATGTGAAGCACTAAGACTCCCAATTTTTAATGTTTAAATATTGATTTTCTTTCAATACAAATCATTCTGAAGGTTTTATCCACTGTCCGCGGAAGGAGAAAATACCTACACAATTCCCCAGCAGAGCGCAGCTCGATTAGCCAACAGAGGAGAAAAGAGATAACAAGTCGAACCGGTCCGTTGGTCCGCTGGTCGTCCAGTCCGCCCGTCCATTCCTCCTCCCCTCTTCCCCTGTCCAACTGACCGACAATGAGAGGAGGAAAAGACATGCGAGTAGAAAGCCACAATCAGAAATTTAATAATGGCTGCACAAAAGACAGCACGAAACGCGTTGACGTGCACATATTTTATGGGTTTTATACAGGCACTGGCAGCGTACAGTACGGGTATCTCGTATCCGAGTACCGCAGTATCTGACGGATGCACATGTTTTGCCCAGTCGGCGAGGGAGAAAGGTGAAACGCCGGCAATTGAAGCTGCCGAATGAAGTCATCGAAAAATGGACACCGGCGGCCTTTGCACTCCCCGAACCCCGAAAACTGTTAGCCGGGGAAAGCAGAAAGCAACTGCCCACCTGCTCCTTTGACGACCTGCTGCTCGGCAGTCCGTCCTCGATATCCAAGCCATATTCCCGATCGTTGATATGGCGGCTATATAGGCAGGAGTCGGATTGAAGTCCGATTTCTGCCACCGATAAACCCTGGCAGCGTGTTTCCCTTCCTTCTCGTTTTATTACTTCATAAGTGGAACTTGGCTGCTATTTTCTTGTTGTCGTGCACGATTTCCCTTTTGTTCTTGGGAAAGTCGTTAAAAATGGTTGTTTTTTTGGATAAGCCACATACGCCCGGTTTTCCTTTTCTGGAATAGGGTTTTGCGTTGGGAAAGTCTGCCAAACAATGGGAATGGAGTTGTAAATGTCAGGACTTTGAAATGCATTGCTTAATCGAGTATGCACCTGACTCTATACGAGTATCGCAGTGCAGATGGCGTCAGTCTGGAGCAGCAGCCTCTTCAGATGCCGAAAATTGAGGTAGTTAGACAATCGCGGGTAATTAGCCCACTTGTTCGATTTCTCACGGTCATAAAATGAATTCACTTCGGCTTTCGAATGAATTCATTATCCCCGAATGGCCTACGTCGACGACACCCAAGTGGTCAAATCCACTCATAAGCGACTTTTTCCACGCTTTTGTGATTTTTGGCAATTGATTTAATGTGTCATTCATAGATTTTTATTGCGCCGTTTTATTGCCGTCTTTAACTTCCGATTTACCACAATTGGCCCGCTCGGACACTGTCCTGGCCGCCCAGCATCCAGCGCCCAGCGCCCCCGGCCACGCCCACTGCGCACCAGGGTCCTGTGTGTGGGATCTTAACAGGGAAATCATGTACTCGCCGTACTTTACTTTATTTATTGCCATTTTTAATACCGCCCGCCTCGCCAGCCTGGACACTTTAACGCCCTCCGCTTGTCGCGAATGCGATGGTCGTTTGGTCGGAGAGGGGGGTGCAGGGGGATCAGGGGGCAGACCACTTTATGTTACAATAATGCTCCCCTGACGCTGGGCGCAATCGAATTGTCTCGGCCATAAAAATCAAAAGGTATTTCGGTTGGACTCTGGCATCGGGCTTTTGCATGGCTTCGATTCGGACGGAAAGCGCCCTTAATTATGGGAATATTTTACTCTATTTAATTTCCACTTACCAGCTTTTTATTGATACAGTTATTTTATTGCTACCCGCTTTTGGTTAAAATCTGCAACAGAAATAAGGAAAATTACTTTATGTTACGTGTGAAAATTAATAAGAATGGGCTAGGGTGCAAATATTATTTATTGCGTAAAGTTTTTGGTCAAAATCCTACTTTAACTTTTTAAGATTGAGGTAGACGGGAAATACGGAAACAATTCGCAATGCTGTTTACTTAAACAAAAATAGTTTGTATCCATACTTGGTTTTTCTTTTGAAATGGATCTTCATCTGTATCATCACCTTTAATACAACTAAAACTATTTTATTGGGCCATAAATTGTCGGGAAAATCGGTTAAATAATTAGGATCCATTAAGTTATTAACCATGCAGGTTTCTCCTTTGTCAAATTACCATGCCTAATATAGTGAAATTATATTGCACAACGTCGTCAAATACTTTATTATATAATGAATAGTACAATAACGATTATGTCAGCCATCACTCTTCAGAATTGAGATGCAGAACTCACCGCCTTTAATGATTCTATGCACTGTGTGATAAGACCAGAGGAATATTTGATTCAATCACTTAATAATTTGACGAAATCGACGAACTCATAAAAACCGTCATTAAATATCGGCCCGGAATAATATTTCAATGCAGTTATAAATATTTGTGTGTGCTCGGGCTCGGACTCACAAAGTAATCAACTTTTCAACAAGCGAGAATTTAAAATTCCCACTTTACGGCCACTGGTCAATATGTTTAATTAATCGGCATTATTTTCGAAAGACCCGCACACCATCGCGCACTCGCCCCTGCAATTGGGGATCCAATTTGCGTGTATGGGGATTATAAGCTGGATCGGGAACGGAATCGATGGCAGGAGCGGCGGTTATCCCAGAAGGAGGTCCTCGATGGAAAACTCGAAGGCGGGCGGAATTCGGGAATTCAGGAAATTATTCGACGGAGGCGCGAACGCGACATGCGCATGCGATAACGACTCCGAAATTGTTAGAGAGCAACTAACACTAAAAAATTAAATTCAATATTTTGTTGTTTAGACAAAGCCCCAGCGAATGCGAACGCGAACGCGAACGCGAAGAGAGCCGATCTCGCAGTTCCGATCTCCAAACCGCCGAAGCCGAGCGCCACACATGGGAGGGGCACATGGGGGGGCTGTCCCGAATGGGGGAAACAGCCCCCTGTTTCACACAAAACATTTTTTTACTTAGTATTATTTTGGGTTTTATGGCCCCACTGGCAGACAGAAAGAGACACAGAGACACAGAGACGCGAACAAGTGAACATTCGAATGGGCGGCCGAGATCGCGGAGGGGGGTTTCCTCGTGTTTTTTTTTTTTCTCATCATTTCTGAGGGGGGAACTCGACGACGATCGTACCGCCAAAGTTCAAGAAGTATATTTTTGTGCTTTGCGTTTTTGCCTTTTTACATTAGCGCTGCTTCCCTTAATTTTAATTATACCAAGCTGTCTGCGAGTGTGTGCATCCGTGTGAGCGCGGCCATTTCCAAACATTCAAACATTTCCACTCACACTCACTCGCAAGAGACACTCGTCGCAGTTTGACAGCAGTCGCAGTGTGAGCCAATTGCTCGCACATACCACAGCGCTTATGGCCTATAGCGCATACTGTACAGGCCAAGTATTCGTGCAGTGCCCATTAAGGCCGCTCGAAGGCAAACTTTGCACATCTCGGCGGACTTTTCGGTTGGCTGCCACAGCGGCGGCGGCCAGCGTTGCGTGAAAAGTCGCAAGGAAGAGGCACACCGAAATAAATCAGAAGATGTCAGTTCGTTTAATCCAAATATTCCTATTTTCAATATGTTCCAAAACATGTAGCAATGGAATGCCACAGCGGGAATGAGAAACATTCACTTGCCATGTCCTTCATTTTAGCAGTTCAAAATTTTACATTTCCCAATCTTTATCTTGTAAACAGTTTGACTTGACTATAAATTTCATTCACTTTATTTATTTACTAATACTTCAATTAATCTTCATAGCAACTGACTGCCACTCTTGAGATCTCGTTGCCTATTTCGAAACTTTTTCTCAGTGAACGGAGCGGGAGGAGAGGCGAACACTACGCGGCTGCTTGATGGCCCATTCAGCTGGCCAAAAACTCATTTGCATAGGGGCCGGGCATTAATGGCCAGCGTTCTGGCCGGGCCGATTCATGAAGCCCGAGGCTCGTTTGAATAGCAAATAGATGTGCCTGCCAAATGGGAAGTTGAGATGGGAAGCTGTCTGCATTAACTTAATCCGAAGGCTAGTTAGTACGCTAGTACGTTAGTAAGTTAGTACGTTAGTACTGACTCAAAGAAAGTCAACTGCGCTCTGTGACTGTAATTTGCTGGCTATGAGCAGAGGTAGGGGTATCGTAAAAACGTAAAAACGTCTTCGGTATCCTGATTCGTGCTCCCAAAACCCGTTTGTCCGGCTCTTGGGCTGCCAATCAAACGCAAACCTGTTTCGCGTCAAGTGCGAAAACAAACAGCCAGCGCTGAAATTGCAACTAAACTGAAAATCCAGTTGAGCTTTAATTAAAAACCTGGAAAATACAATTAAAAAATACCCGTCAGCCTCAGCGGCAGCAACCTGTGCAATTACCTGTGGCAAAGTGCGGAAAAGACATGGTAAGGGGGAAGGGGATGGGAAACGACAAAACAACAAAAAATTGTTCAAAAGTCTTGGCCAAGAGTGATGTGTGTAATTGGCCAGCCAACTGGCAAGCGGCAGAGGCTGAGCCAGAGGCTGCTCATATATGTATCTGTATCTGTATCTGTATCTGTATCTACTGGCCGTGAGCAGCTATACGGACACTGATCGCCGGACCGGTGGACCGGGGGATCTGGGGATCGGGGGACCTCCGCCCACCACCCGATCGACGGCCTTGGAGGCTGATTGCCATATTACCTGCCTTTGGCCCTGGCTCAAACCGACGCGAGAAGCGCGTAACGAGCGACGGCTCTTTGCTGTTTCGTGGCGAAGTAATAAGCGTGTTTCATAAATTGAAAGCTGTAGCTGCCGTTGCTGCTGCTGCTGCTGCCTCTACCGCAAAGCAAAACGAAGAAAAAATTATTAAGGCAAGCGAGAAAAAAAAAGTACAGAAAAAACGCCATTTAGATTGCAATCTGGAAAGCGTTCGCCTCAAAAAATGGCCGTCGCACACACGAAACAAAAACTCGGCCATAAAACGCTTCAAAATTGCGGCTCTGAGCCAGAAAACAAAGCAGCAACAGCAAAAAAAGACTACAGAAGCAGCACACAAAAAATGCGAGTAATTATTTTTATTAAAGCAAAAAACGAGATGGCCAACAGTTGCGATTATGACCCCTGCCCCCGTCAACTCGCCTTAGTCCACTTTCTGTGCTGGCTTAATTAAGTTGGTCACACTCGGAGGGGAAAAGCAAGTCAGAAGGGGGAGGGGAATAAAAAGTACTTTCTGAACCACTGTCCCAACGTATCTTCTCACTGTGAATTCTGCTCAGAAAAAGGTAGTTGGACGAGTGATTTCAGAGACTTGGGTTAGGTGTGTCCCTTTAAATTTATTTAATTTACATCTCTTTTAAAAAAGGGAAGGCTGTGTATAGATAGGACCCATATAGAACCATATATATAGAACAATATAGATATATATTCGAAGCCAGCCCGTTTCGTGTAATTATTGAGTTTGGTAATAACACAATTCGTGCACATGTTTCATTATCATGTTCGACAGGACACCCCAGTGCAAAGCTGCCCTTGAGACCCCAGATTAGCGAAAAGTCATGGCACAACAACTCAAAATCACAGAAACAAACAAACACATATCAATTGGGAAAATGCGATGACGGCTCAATCTCCGCTGGGCAAAGCATCCAAATAATTACCCATTCAGAGCGAGGCGGGGGGGAAAACTGCGAAACTATGCGGAGTATGCAACTGAAACAACAGCCAATGGCAGCACCATCGAAACGAAAGGAAGTCGAAAGCGAACCGAGTTGGGAGCAGCAGTAGAAATAGCAGTTTTCCATCCGCCATAAATAATGTTAAGCGCCACGGCTGAGAGAAAAACATGCACGGTCCATTAACTTTTTGCGGAGTGGTTCGCAGAGTGGTGCGAAGGAGATTCTGACTTCCACGTCATCTCACACAGAAAACAAAAAAAAAAACCGATAATGGTGCCCTTGAAGTATGACAAACAACTTACGAGCATGGAAAATGTATATTGCAAACTTCATATTATTTGAAACTTTCGATTACAGAAAATTCCAGTATCGTGTATATTATGGAAATTCTTGATTGTTTTTTTTCCAAGCTACTAACGAAAATTCTTAATATAGAAGCTTAATTTACTGTTGAACTTACGAAGATTCGACACTGTTTTTAAGGCAAATTTCTCTTGACTTTTCTCTAAGTGCAACCAGCCGACCTCGACACCAAAAACCACCGCTTCACCGACGATGGGCTGACATTTTGAAAGCTGCGCGATATTTGCGGCCGGGGAAATGTGCCGCAGTGGAAAAGGCCAGAGGGAAAACAAGTTGGATATTCAGTTTTTACTTTTTGGTAACATTTTCACGGACTCCGCACTCGACTGGAATTGCCATTGTGAGTGTGCGTGAGTGCCGAAGCCAAAGGTTGAGTTAAGGTTAAGTGGGTTCAGATTGGAGCTGGAAATAGACCTTTTGGCCAGCGTTTCTGCTCTGCTGCCTGACTACTGGCGAGCAATTCCTTTTATTATTCATATTATTTTAATTACGCTCGCCCGCTGCGCTGCTTCCTCTCAATCTTAAGTGCCAATAAAATTAATTGGGGAGCGGTTAAGCCGCCTAGGATTGTGCATTGAGCTACAAAGCGCGGATCATTAAAGCTGCATCAAACAGTGTGACTCACACGGCGATCGTGTCAAGTTCGCAGTGCCTAAAGGTTAAGTGCACCGATGAGTTTTGGACTCCCCGGGATTGGAATGCTCCGCGGAGAAGATAAATTTCAAATACTCGTAATTTTTATCATAGCTCTTTAAATAGTATGTGTTTATTCGTGCTGTCTTTTTCC